AAGAAGAAGAAGAAGAAGAAGAAGAAGAAGAAGAAGAAGAAGAAGAAGAAGAAGAAGAAGGAGAATAACAAGAAAAATTAATCTCTTAAATCATAACTATTGTTTTGGTTCATAATTACGCATTATTTTCGCTTGTTTGGGTGAAATTTGCTTGATCGTTGGAAGCAATACATATGTTTAAAAAACTTTATAAGAGTTTGCAGACCTGTACGATTATTAGACATGCTATTTTACCACTCAATGCTTAAGGTTTTGGAAAGGCTAAAGGCAAATAAGAAGCTCTCATAGTACGGTAACTCGATGTCGTCTCGCACATGACGTTAGAATAGAGCTACACTCAAAAAATTCCACACGTCATCATCATGTGTCTCACATTTAATTTTGCGCTTATTGTGAAACACATCCATTTCATGTGTGAATCTTATGCAATGAATCATGCCTGAACACTATGGATTTAAATTGTGACACACTTGAATTCTATGTGCGTCATTTGGTGATATCAATAGCTTTGCACATCATTGTTCAATATTCTACGTTATCGACTTCTACTTTACCGAATCTATAAATGAATCGAAAAATATATAAACAAAACTGCCAGAGGCCAGAGCTTTCTCACACATCTTTTTAATGGGCCTGATTTGGGATTCGATCATGGACTGTTGGGGTGTGCTGCTGTCGGAGTCTTCGTTCGATCTCACTGTGCCACGGTTGTTCTTATATATGATAGGATAAAGTGACAAGTCTTGTTTTCGATGTTTACCTTTCTGAGCAAGTAATTCACATCGTATTGAAATGAAAATCACTTTAAATCCATCTGTTTTGAACAGTAATGTGATTCAATGTGCAATACACTTGAATAGACAGTGACATATTTTCAACATTTCAAAGTTGGGAACACTATAAATTAACGTGTATAACACATTGAACCAAGGTGAAATACACTTAAAGTAAATGAGATTGTGCATTTAAAAAATCAAGTGTTTAAACACTTCGATCAAACGTGTGAAATTTTTTGAGTGTAGAATGTAGACCGGTACATTTTCAGGTGTATGGAAGAAGTGAAAAATCATGATCAGCAACAAGGCAATAGAAATCACTGTTGCCGAGGCTGTTGCTTTGCTCGCGAAAACTGCAGTGAGCAGCGAATCCAAACTCATAAAGCAACCAACGATACAGACAAAACGGTTGCTACGACTACCATGACAAACTCGCTCTGTAACATGGCTCGATCAGAGTGGCAGAAGGATAATGATATATTGCTTGCCTGCTTTGTTGCAATATACACGGATGAGGACAGCTTGATCTGAATCGAGAAAAGACGCAACGAAAAAATTTCCGAAAAAATCATCTTCGGTTTTAGTTCGTGAAGTAGCTTGCAAACAATTTGCTCGTTTTCTTCTACCACCCCGAATGAGCTGTGTCGTACGGGCTCCTTGTCATGATAAAAAGGAAGAAGATTATATCATTATTGCTTTCCACTTCTGACATAGCATTATCATTCGGTTCGTTGCTCGCTTGTCATTTTGTCATTTTAAGATATTTTTGATTCCTTGGCAGTGAGCGTATACTATTCTTTCGCCTCTCACGTTCTCATTTATTTTTTCTACACACTTAGTTTTTTCCTACCGAACTCCGTGCTACCGTGCAAATTTCGGTAAAACAAGTTTTATTGAGATCTCAGCAAACATTTCATTTGTTTGCTGAGATTCTGCTAAGAATTATCCGAGACTCAGCAATCAAATGTCACTTTTGCTGAGATCTCAGTGAAACTTATTTTTGCCGAGATTTGCACAGTCGAGCAAAAATAGAGGTTTATTTTTTTTCTAGATTACTCCGCAAGCCGTATTTGGTGATTCATTCACTTTTTAATTTTGAATCAATTTTATGAAATGAAGGATTCAGGTGATTTATTTGCATGCTCAATCTCCTTAATAAAGACAACCTACCATCCAACCAACCATCCAACCAACCATCCAACCAACCAGTAACATTTTGAGTTTTATGAAGTAATACAAAGCTACTATAAAACAACATTCATAAAACTCTGGACAAGGCTACTTTGCCATTGATGCATCCACCAAAACCTCATTAAGACTAGAATATTTCTAGTTGGCCCATCCTGGAGAAGGTTCTGAAGGGTATATTGTCGACGCTCTTCAAGATTGATTTTCTGCAAAAAGGTTGAATGACGAACGTATTGAGAACCATTTGAAACCCGTATTTAAGCTACAATAAAAGCTATTTGGCAACAATAAAAACCTTTTTCAAGCCATTTTCTCTAGCCGCTTGCTGAATCCAATAGAAAAATCATCGTTCAAGATAGAAAAGGATTTATAAATACCATCCGATCAGAAAAACATAATTGAAATATAAACTGATCATATAAAAATCCGATTCAATTTCCAAAATTATTAAAATTGTTCTCATAAAGTGGCCTACTTGTAGGTGCCGTATTAAATCTTATGTGAAATGTACTTGAAAACATCGCAAAAAATAAATCCAAAAAAAATTCTTCAGAATGATCATTAAGCTCAGCCAATATATTTTTTTTGTGCTTATCGTATTTTAAATATCTGCTCATTGCTAAATTGACCACAATAAAGTTATATCCAAAAAAACACACATTGAAAATGAAGATTGTAAAAATCAAACAAAATAATTGTAATATGGCGTTGGCTTAAAAGTTTATTTTCATGGGCCATTTCTGAAAAACTTGTTTTGCTTTAATGAAATCCCTAACAAATTCATAAGGTTTTAAAATGGCTTTTATGAAGAAAACTTGCTGACTGAATTGTATTTATCTAAAGCCATTTTGCTTGATCCTAACCCGTTCAGATTTATGGCAGCATTTATGGAGGCAAAGTTGCCTGAAAAAAATTAAACGTCAAAGTTTGTTTATCTTTCGATAGTTGCGTTGTGCAATCATTGCAACGAGGTTTTACTCCAGCGTTCTTCCGATTTTCTCCCGCTGGATTGGAAGCAGTTACTCAAGAAGTGTGCGGTACTGTTTTGCAACATTTCGCATATATGATGGAACAGCTGGAAGCTCAATCGTTCCCGTAAAAGATCCTCTTCTTCCGGATGGTTCTCGAAGTGCACCATCAGTTTAAAATAAGTACGCTTGAAGGAAATTTTGACCCTTTCGCTGAATAAAATCATTGCTATGAATCGGAGACCAACCAATATCCGTTTACTGACAGTTTCAGTGGTTTTCTGTCGGTACAAATGCAAATTATTTCGTTCGTCCGATCTGGAGAAGGCTGGTCTGTTTTTAGACTGTTTCATAAAGGAGACGGTCAACACCGATCAGAACGTGATGCAAACGCAGGATGCTCAGTCATTGCTGAAATTGACTTCCCTTCGGTCATCAACAGTGCTTGAATTGTTCATCCTACTTCGTCTAGTCTTCGAGATTTCCTTGTCATAAATTTTGCTTTTATTCACTATAAGGATCCAACTTTTAAGGTCAATTTGGAAACAGAGTAATTGAGGGTTTTATGATACACTTTAACAAGTCTAAATAACAACAATATATGCTTTTTGCTCACATTTAAAACCGAATGGTTTTATGGTTGCTTTTACAATAAACAATTGCTAATGAAGTTCATGATTGATTTAAAGAACAGTTTTATGGAGGTATTGAGAGCTGCTTTAAATTTATTTTTAAAACAAGACAGTTTTTAACTTTCTCGACAGACTGTAAAAGGTTTTTATAACAGCAATAAGTTGAACTACTAACCAGGAACGTTTTACACTTCATTTCCGTTGGATGGTTTTATACATCATAAATCAGAGTGGATGCCAAGTAGCTGCTGAGTTGTTACTTGGGTAATCTTAATGAAAAGAGTGGTGAAATCCAATATTGTTGTGCGCTAAGTGTGTCTCCTACCAGGAATAATCAATGGGAATACTTTAATAATTACTCTGTTATTTTGCGCAAAACATTGTTCGTATAAGTAGAAGAAACACTCGTGACCTCATTTCCGCAAAAATAGTAAACTTTTGATTTTTAGGGTTCGTACAGTTAAGCTCCAGCGATTGGATCGACATAGTTGAACTTGCTTTAAATTTAACATAGTTAAATAGCTTGCTTTAAATTTAACATAGTTGGACAGTAGTACTTAAATTTTAGAAAAATGGCTCTAAAAGCACAAGTTAAAAAGAAACGTCTCTCAATTTTTGGCAGCTGACTCAGTATATCAATTATTGGCTCAGTATTGGGCACATTTGGTTGGGTTTACAAAAAGTAAGAGCAATTTAAGGAAAACGCCTTCTTCTTGAAAACCCCTATTTTCTTGAAATAAAATGAACATAACTTCTTGAAATTTTGCTTATTTTTAGTCGTAATAAAAATCATTCATCTGCCACTAATTTTACTAAAATTCGTTCACTAGGTAAAAAGTTGAAAATCGAGTGTTTTACTAAAATAAATCTATCTTCATACAGGCTCCTCCAATAAAGACCAAAATTATAGCAATAAATCACTAAACATCTGTTCAACCACCAGCCACGATTTGAAAAAAAGGAATATTCACCATGTTTAAAAAAATTCTTCCAGGGTGTACGATCAAGAGATACACTGTATTTTGGAATAACAATGAGCAGGCCAAATAGCAAAAAGATGAATTTTTGACTCGATGTTCATCGATAGTAAAATCGATTCGTTAGTTGGCGCGGAACTGCTCTGCTGTGACACAACAGCGAGCTTGTTCGTAGCATTGACACTCATTTTGCAGGTTCAATATTATGACTGCAAATCAGAATTAATTTGAAGGAATATTCCTGTAGGTACCTGTCAAGAAACTTTCGTAGCGATCAGGAAGAGACAGATTTGCAATTTGCTGGAAAGATAACTTATATTAGGACTTAATTTTCCCATGAGAAATTAATCATATTCGCAGGAGTGTTTTCCCGATTTTTCTTAGAATTTTTCAAAATAACTATTCATCCTTTCAATTCAAGAACGTCTTTCCTCATATTCCACTCTATATCACCCGCAGAGTACCTACTGTAAGTTCGACACCTTCTACCTTTCACAAACCGGCCGAGAAGACCTGCAGGATGCATACACCTACTGCGGAGCAGGCATAATTCGAGAGAAATCAATTGGCAACAGGCTGTACATCCGACTCAGGGCAGCTCCAAAGAGCTGGGGAGGTCGTTTCCTTTGTTCGATGTCCCTCATTCCTCAAAGTTGCTCTTGCGGAAAGAAGAAAGTGGTATGATTTTATCACACTCTTTTACCATTAACCGATCACTCAACATACGAACATTTTACAGACTCGTATTGTGAATGGTGTCCAGACGAAGGTCAACGAATTCCCCATGATGGCTGCTTTGGTGGACATTAAATCAAGATTGATCATTTGCGGGTCCACTATTAGTAAGTAATTTGTTCCAATACCATTGACCGGTCAAAATCGAAATTAACACCGTCGTTAACGATTTCAGTTTCCAACTATTACGCCTTATCGGCAGCGCATTGCCTGCTGCTGAGAACGGTGGATGACACCGCTTTGCTGGTTGGTGATCACAATCTAACCACGGGAGCCGAGACTCCGTACGCCCAAGCCTACATCATAGCTCAATTTTTGTCACATCCCGGATTTACAACGCGACCCGTATCGAATGACATTGCGCTGATCCGAACGTTGCAGCCAATACAATTCAACGAAGCCGTTGGACCCGTTTGTTTGCCGTGGAAGTACCGTAGTGAGAATTTCGACGGTGCCATCGTGGAAGCCTGCGGCTGGGGAGATTTGGATTTCGGTGGACCAAAATCGGACGTTCTCAACAAGGTGGCCCTCAACGTTATCAGTAATCAGGAGTGCTCGAGTCGGTTGAATTCGACCATTACGCATCAGAAGATGTGCACCTACACGCCGACAAAGGACACCTGCCAGGTAGGGCTACTGCTGGTGGGATTGACTCTATCGTTTTTCAGCGGTTTTACAGCTAACTTTTTCATTGTTTCTAACCATTGTATTTTTTTTGTTCTAGTCCGATTCGGGTGGACCACTTTTCTATACCGAACCCGAGAACGGATTGGTCTACGAGGTTGGCATTGTGAGCTATGGGGTTGCCTGTGCCACGGCAAATCCCAGTGTTAACACCAGAGTGACTGATTTTTTAGACTGGATTATGGCCAACAGCCCCGGCGCGTTCTATTGCTTCCAGTAGAGCGGCAGTGAAGCGAGTTATATGGTTTGGACGCCACTGCGTGATGTAGCAGCGAGTAGGAAAAAAAAAGGGTCACCACGAATGGTTTTGTGTTATATTTTTTTTCCCAAAACTGTAGTCCGAGGATTACCAAGTTAGCCGGGTGCCGTGAGATTGAATGAAATATGAACGAACAAAGTAGAATAAAAAATATTGGCTACCAAATCCGTCAGCTGTCATCGGTGGGCTTTATGACTTTTTAATATTTGCTGTGAATTTGATCCTATTTCCTGGTATTCAATGAATAACATCTATTTCAACTGGAATTCACTTAAATATTGGAAATGCTCTGGTATATGTGGACCATCTCTGATTTCATTGATTTATTTTGCAAGGAAGACCCATTCACCCCTTCGATGACATAACTGAAGAAAATCTTTCGCTGCTTGCGTTATATTGTTTCACTTTTCTAACCATCTAATTTCTTTACGGCATGGTATTCGCTTTAGAACCCGGAGTGTAAAAATAATCATAAAAGCCCAGGGCACAGGGTACTCATTTCCGGGCTTCTTGGAAAAAGGCGTAAAATTGGTGTATGTGGAAAATTTATGTCTCTCTGACGCCCACTCCGAGCATCCCGGTGGATTTCCCCGGGATGGGATGGTAGAAAAACGTTGCTTTACAACAAGGAAGTGGGATTCGTATCCTTGTGATACCAAATAATAGCCTACCACCCCCCGAAAACCCCTAAATAAGCTGAACGCTTGAAGGGCCTACTTTTTAATAGTATGTTAAATAAATTCACAATGGATGCTGGGACAGCAGGCAGGGAGATTATTTTCCACAAAGTGTGCTTGATGTTAAGAAATGGACGAAGTTGGCTCTTACTGCTGTTGTGGGTGCTGGATGAACCACTTTTATTCGGTGGTTGCGAATAAATATTAAAACCAGCTGCCGCTGACAGTGCCAACGACAACAATGATCAGAGATCCAATGAATCCGGTGAAAGCCGGAGTCGAGGAAGCGGTTGTCTGCGGGTAGGCAGGTTGGTTGGAGAAATGGTAGGTATGTGGTAGATAGGAGGCAATTTATGATGCCCAAGCGAACGTTTTCATCGTGGCACTGTGGATGAGGAAGGGGTTTTCTTTTTTTTAAACAAGACCAATGGTCCGAGGAGGAATGATCACTATGAGGGAAACTGAAATAAAATGGTCTGCAAAAGGCTTCCACAGAAGATCTCGCGAAGGATAACAAAGTCTTTTCGGGGACGGCCCCGGTATTTTGGTTAACATTCATATCTCTCACGTCAAAGTCACGAGTTCAAATCTCATCCCGGAAGAGTCACGAATGACCCAGATTGTTAAAGTGACTATAATAAAAAAATAGGATGTTTCCAAGGTTGTCCAATGCTTCAGACACAATTAGGGTTGTCAGTACCGGAACCTTTTTGTGAGTACTGGAATTTCAGTACTGAGAGGTTCAGTACTAATAATACCGGTAAATTACCGGAACCAAGGGTTTTTAAGAAAATAATTGTAAACAAATTAGATTAATTATCCATTTAAAGAAATTCGTCTTGATGTATTCTCACGCATAAAGTTAGTTCTTTAAATTTGTTTCCCATAAAAGTCACGAATATCCTTAAAATGTCCATGGGAGCATAACAATGAAATCATGTATTAATTCGATCTCCTAATATCCTATTATCCTGATTCTTCATTCCAAAATATTTCAACGCAAAATATTTCACGTCTCTCATATGATTACTAACCACGAAATTTCCAGACTCAGAAAAGTGCAAACAGTGCTGTCATGGCAAATTTAGAGCTGATAACTCACTGATTTGGCATATGTGCTAACCTCAAATCCATGCGCCCCTTTTAGGAGCGTCCATGATCTCAATTAAGGGAAATACCCACAAAATAAGAGTACGGGTAAAATTTCCTGATGAATGTGTATTCTTAGTGGAATACCTGTATAAAGAGAGAGAGAGAGAGAGAGAGAGAGAAGGATTAGTAATTTCCATTTAATTCCACTGCCTTATTTGCTTATCCTTGACCAGTTTTGTAAGCGGTCACCGTAGTCGTCACATTTTCTTTGATAATCCACTGCTTTGCTTCCGACACTTGCAAAACAAGCCATCAAATTACAGTACCAAACTGAAATGTCATATGACAAGCTCTGTCATACGACACTGTCGCTGAGGACCGTCACGAATGTATGTATTTTAGTTCCTCATAATAAGAGCTGCTGATGATGTTCGTGAGTGAATTCTGAAAATAGCAAGCAATAACATTTCTGATCAGAAATGGTTTGATTTAAACCAAATTGAGGAATTAGAACGAAATCACACATGTCATATGATAGTTATTTGAAAATTTTCTTTTTGCTCGAATGTTGAGAGAGACGACGGTAGAGCATGACAGTACGAATACAAACTGACTGTCACGCACGACAACGAAGCGTGTGTAGTAAAAAACGTCAACAGTGTCAACCCCTGTCTTTGGCAGATACGCGTATTTCGTCTATAATATGCAGACTTCTTCATTGTTTTGTACTAATACTCGAGTCGAGTCTGAAGAAGTCTGCACAGTATTGACAAATACGCGTATCTGTCAAGTATAAGCAAATAAGGTAGTGAAATTAAAAGATAAAATTTGTTTGTAATCATAAAAGTACTAATTTTTGGATATTGGATTTGGTGGATCAAGACGCTACGATGTGCAACGTTTCAATCTTTGGACTTGACCTTCTTTATGGGATATAAAGTTGTACCATGTTCCGTTCAGCGCATAAAGTTTTATGATCTACTTAAATTGGCACTGATGAAGATCTCAACCCCTGGATCGAAACTCAACATAATTAATAATTCTTCAAAATCTTTAAAAGTGTACACTTTTCATATGTTTTCGATGTATGTCTGAAATTATTGGTAGAGTAAAGCGGGGCAAGAGTTCGCAGGTGGCAAAAGTACGCACTGGTTCTAAAGGCACTGAATACAAGCTTACTAGAAAAATGTTGTGTATTTTGAATAATCCACTTAAAGGCTTTCACCAAAAGTGTGTACTTTTTTTGTATTATGATAATATTATAGATGAAGATTATAACCTAAGTATTTCAGTATTGTGATTGATCTATATGATAGGTGTTTTATGGTATGTATCAGCAGAAGATATTGGAAACACGTAACTTATGGGAGACCCTTTTCATTATGGACTTCGAGTAAGGCAAGAGTAGAAATGTGGTAGAGTGGTGGACATATGGTTTCAATTTTGAAAAATTATGATCGAACCTGTCTTTAATCTTTAATTAGTAGGATTTAATGCAAAAATATCCCAGTCGGCGCCGCCGGGATGTTTTGAGGCATAACATCTCTGATCACGCCTTTCTTCGGATGGGAAGTAAAGCCGTTGGTCCCCGGTTCATGAGTTGATGGGTCGATAGGTAGGGTCCAGGTGTGGGAGTTGTCTTCCTGGCACGTCGGTAGCATTGGTGCTCAGCACGGAAAACAAGATCGACGGAAAAAACAAACCAAAGGAAAAAAAAAAAAAATCACCGAATATACTAATTACATCAGCTTTTTATGATTTTATGTTGTTTTCAGATGAGGTCATACACATAAAATGTGCGTAAAAATGACAAACTAAGGTCCAATTTTGATTTGTTATTGATTAAGAATGCATCCATTCGATTAAAATAGACGCTTGTGACACATTTAATAAAATGCGCACTCTTGCCCCATCCAGTAGGGCAAAAGTACACAATCGGAACCCATTTGCTTAGTCAACAATTTAAGGAAAAAACCATGATTTTCAAATAGCTATCCTCTCACGGTTATAAACTAATATTTGATATTGCAGTGAAAAGATACATAAATTTTAAAACTAACACATTTCTTGATTTCTCAGAACACTGTATAAACTTCCCACAATTTTCCTGTTGCTCATTGATCTATCCAGAAGTTCCCAAATTTTCGTAAAGTTTTCAAAACTTAAGGTTGTGAAACATCCCATAAAATCTGTAAGGACCTGAAGTTGTAACCGTTCGAGAAATTTCGCTGAGGTTTTGATCTAACTCAGTGGCTTAAGCGCTACTCTCGATTAGAAGAGACCACTGGTCGCGTTAGAACTTTGCCCGACAAATGAGACTTTTCTCTCAGAGGACCTCTTGAACGGTCGTTGGTTACTAACGGCAATGAAAAAACTACTATCTTTTCGGAAATGCCAAGTCCTTCAATAATACGGAATGGAGCGCATGGACCAAATAAATAAACCGAAGATATTACTCTGACTCACCCACGAAATGAAACGGAAAGAGAACGAAGGAATGCTTACTCAACTTAGCGAAAACGAAAGAAAACAGAACGTAACGTAGTAAGTGTGTTTTATTCAGGAAGTAGCATTCAAAACGTTCGAAAAACCAATCTTCAACTTTTTATTTAAACTATATTTAAGCATTCATTCGCATTGGATTTCTTAGAGGGGTGTATGGGAAAGAGAAAATCAAGGCTATGAATTAAACATAATTAACATAACATACCTGCGCAAGTTTTACTTGACGAAGCAAGGAATCCATGACTGCTGACCGATGAGGGCTCGACGACTCGATGATAGCGGCGATAGACGATCTTTCAGGCGGTGTGGCGATGGTGGCGTAAACGTGATGGTGCCGCTCACGTGCTGCAGTATGGCGCGCAGCAACCGAAGGTGACTCGTACGCGATATAGCCGAATTAGAGTTGCGGAGAGAGTGGTGGCTGGACGGAAGACTTCCGATTTGGCAATCGAGAGCTGAGCTAAGACGAAAAGTCATGCTGTCCCGGAAGATTCGCTCCGCAGAGAGAAGAGGCCAACGGACAGTTTCACGTACTTTGTATCCGCAATGACCAACCGTGATGAAATGAACCCCCTCTTCCGTTGGATTGAATCCGGACCGCGGCACGCTTTTGGCGACGCACTCACACGGTCCAAGCCCTCGGAAACAATGGTCCACGGGGGTTGTAGTGGAAGGGACCCCGTCGACGGATGATTGGCGACCGTCGGAAGATATTTTGATTCGAAGATTAGCGAACTTCACCCACCTCCGTTTAGCTACCTTCGAAAAGGCGGGCCTTAGTAGGGCGCGCGAGTACCTTTTGAGAAACTTAACGCACAAAATCAATTTGATTTAATATAACTCGTTCCTC